CCGACCATGAGTAAGCCGAGTCATAGCTAAGTATAAACACTAGTGACTTTAATACTTAATTTAGGATATTTTAACAGTAAGGATCCAAAAGTAAGGCTAGCAAGAGAACTCAGTCAGTCAAGTGCTTGCTACACAAGCATGAGTATCTAGGTTTGCTGTCCTAGAACCTGTGTGAAAGACTGGCTATGGTGGCACATTTTTATAATTCCAGCGCTGGGGAAGTGGAGGCAGACTAGTTCCTTGACTTGCTAGCAAGTCAGCTTATATTAATTGTGAGATCCATGTTCAGTGAAAGACTTGCTCTCAAAAAGTAAGGTAGGCGATGACTGGTGCAGACACTGGTACTTTTGGGACCACTGTGGGATGGAGAACAAGAGAGCGAAGCTGTGGACTTTAACACAATTCCACCCAATGTATTAAATCCACTGAGAAGGGTTCCATAGCGTTGTTTTCTAAGTTCCACCTGGGGTTTTGTCATCCTTGGGGTTGAGACCCCTTCTTTTCCTTTATATTTAATCAGCTACAGAGGCTCATTTATGACTGGTTCAAGGAATAATCTCTACATGCAACTTAAACATTTTTTTTCCTGTAGTTTAATTCTTGGGTTCCAAAATGAATCTTTTTCTGGGCATGTTAAACCTCCTGTTTCTTTCCTTTTAACATTTTATATTTTGACTATTAATAACTCCAAGCAGTCTAATTCTTAAATATGCACCAAGTCATGCTGTTTTATGTTGGAGGTTACTTGAGAGGAACCATTGGGGCAACATAGAGTGGGTGTTCTTTTGAGCTGCCAACAACAGAGGAAGAGAATGAGGTGGAACTAGGGAATGAGGGAGTAGAATGTAAGCCCTGTGAAAACTGGAATGAGTTTCTATTCCAAGACATAAAATACTGCCTAGCAAACATAAAGTGCTCAATAATTATCTACTTAAGAATTGATGAATCATCAAAGGGAAGAAGGAAAGTGATTTGGACTTGGAGATCAGAGGGCAATGTTAGGTCACGAGATTCTGGATATTGTTCAAGGGGAAGTTGAGAAGGTGGAAGGAAGGCAGATGCAGTCTATACTCTGGGCCTGTGGAGACAGGCATGGAAAAGCATGGTTGCACTTAACAGCAGCAGTGGCAGAGCAAGAGACAGTAGCTGTCTCAGCGCAGGGAGCCTCAGCTTCTTTTAGAAAGCAATTATTATTTCTTTAGTGGGAAACAGTAGACTGAAAGAACCATTTTTTTTTTGAAGTGGAAGAAAGTACAAGAATGCCCGCCCTCCATACCCATCCTAGAAAATATCTTGTTATAGACATGAGGTGTGGCTGATTCTAGAGGTATTTTTAATCTTCCCAACCTGTCCTGTGGAGGACTCTCCAACAAATCTCTTTTAATGTGTGTTCGTGTGTAAGGATATCAGTTATGAGAGCTTAGGCTGTGGCGTTAGACTCAAAGCCACCTGTCTCATTTGCCCATAGCAAGCTATATTAAGGAAGAACAGCTTGGAACGGGATATCTTCCATTCATTTAAAAACATGTCGTTGTTGGTGTGTGTGTGTGTGTGTGTGTGTGTGTGTGTACCACAACTCCTGGTTGGATCACAGAGGACAACTTTGTGGAGCCACTTCTCTCCTTCCATCTTGACATTGGTGCTGGGGATCAATTTTAGGTTGCCACACTTGGGTGGCATTTTTGCCCATTGACTCATTTCTCTCCTGTTATGACTGCTTTCATAATCGGCAAAATCAGTGAGGTGGGGGTGCCTCGGTCATCACTGTAGTTGACAACATTTAGCAGTGACACTGAATGAGCCTCGCAAATACTCCTTTCAATACGAGGGAAAGTCCTAGATCAAAGCTAAGGAAGAAGTCCCGGGTTTCTCAAGAATTCCTAAGAGGAAAGAAAAGAGAGCAAGGAAAGGCATTGTGCAATAGCAGTTAGAGTCTCAAAGACATTCGTCTCCCTTACTCTGTTCTTTTGCGGTTGGTTTCCCTTTTCAGTGGTCTGCTTCCTCAAAGACTGTCATTCATACTGAGGATGTATTATTACACTGGTGAATGAGGCCTGCTGAGTATTCAGTGAATCTTCATGGAGTCTTCAGTGGAGCATCCTGAAGTTTAACCATCCCATTATTTGACCTGTTTAGATTTCCTTTTTGCTGTTTTAGACCATTCAGCACCTATTAATCAATGGAGACATATACAGTCTGTGAGAGATTGTGGGGAGATTAGGGGAGTAAAGCCTGTGGCCTCAGTTGGCTTTATAGCCTATGTTCCCAGGAACTCATTTACTACTGCATGGATTTCCATGCTCCTGTCCAGGTGGTAACTGAATGTATGAATTAAGGAAGAAAATTTCACACTCATTCTATAGGTGGAGGTGCCAGAGGCTCAGAGGGGTTGGATAGCTTGCTGAAGGTCATGCAAGCAAAGGTTTCCAAGGCAGGATTTAAACCTGCTCCCTCTGGCTCAGCTCCAGTGTTTCCTCCACTGGGTAGTGATGGTGGCTCCTTGGTCAGAACCCAGTAAGTTGCTTGAGCTGTCTTGGAGCTGGGGCTACTCTCTCTCATTTTGCCCTGCATACTTCCTTACAGTCAGATATCCAAGGTACACTTCTTGTTGTTTCTTACATGTAAAGAAATAGCAAAATAACCCAGTTTGGTATTGGTTCTGATACAAGGAGGGCAGACTTGGTGGGCTTAGTCTGGGCCTAGATCCAGGGTGCATCCTCAGAGGACCTTGTGCCTGGTGTAATGTCACTTTTTTTTCATTACTAGACGTGAATCTAGAGTCTTGTGCATGCTAACCAAGGCTTCTACCACTGAGCTATATTCCTGTTCTTTTATTTCTTTCTGCTATATGGTCCCAGTATATTGTGCATGCTTAACTGAACTTCATTTGTAGCCTAGTCAGGCCCTGAACTTGCAATCTTACCTCTCAGTCTCTTGAATAAATGGGACGACAAGTGTGAGCTACCAGTGCTGGTGTGGAGTTCCTTACAATGTATGGAACAAGAAACCATGCTTGTAAACTTATGATTTTGGTTACATCAATGTCTTTGAACAGCAGTTTTCTCATCTGGAAATCAGTAACAATAAAGTTGTATGATGGAGGAAGGTCATTGGCTAATAAAGGAACTGCCTTGGCCCATTTTATTGGTTAGGACATAGGTAGGTGGAGTAAACAGAACAGAATGCCGGGAGAAAGAGGAAGTGAGGTCAGACTCCACAGCTCGCTCGGGAGCAGACGCCTGAGAGAGACGCCATGCCCCGCTCCCGGGATGAAGCTCCGACCCAGGATGGACTAGGCTAGAATCTCCCCGGTAAGCGCACCTTGGGGTGCTACACACAGATGATTAGAAATGGGCTAAATTAATATGTGAGAATTAGCCTAGAAGAGAATGGGCCAAGCAGTGATTACATGAATACAGTTTGTGTGTTGTTATTTCGGGGCATAAGCTAGCCGATCAGGCAGCCGGGGTGCTGGGGACGCAGCCCCGCCGCCGCTCCTATTACTACAGTTGTATATACTCAGTGTGATCTGGTGTAGAATAAACAAGGTAACAGTGACAAAATCTCCAGAGAGCTTTTGTACAAACATAGTCCTTAATACATCTTAACTACCTTGTATCTACAACAGGAGATGAACTTCTTCATCAGCATCTTAGATTGGCATTGAGATTTGGAACATATGTCCACAGAGTTTGGTTTTAGGCTGGGAAAGATGGTTATTTGGGTGTTGTTGCTGTGAGAATAAATTAAGCAGTGTGAGAAAATAATCATCATGTTCCTACAACAGCTACTACTTACAAATGTGCAGCCTGGTGAGAAACACAACAGAGGTCTAGGCTAAGAAATGAGATTCCCCGGCTAACATTAAGGGCACTGGCTCATCTCAGAGCATCATTGAGCAGGACCAGCTATACTTTCTGACCAAGTCTAAGATGAGTGATAAGAATAACAGATATACAGAAGTGAAAAGAACGCAAAAACCAAGACTTACTGACATTTAAAAAAAAACACAGTGACTTAACATTGATCTAACTGATAAACTATGTTAATTTAAGTGTCACAAGCTCTCCATGAAGGAGGCAACATCAGCAACATTTTGTGGATGAGAAAACTAATCTCATAGGATACTAAGTAGAACTAAAGAATCCTATAGATTGGTAGTGTTGTAATTCAGTGTTTGAGAAGGATAGAGATAGAAGATAATGCACTGTCTGGAGAGCCATGGAAATTGGGTTTAGAATAATGATCGAATTTAAAGTTTCTGGTAGGGCTGTGCGCAGGAGGATTTAGGAGCCATCCAGAGCAGACTGCCCAACATGTCTTGGTACTGAACATCAACGCTGGGCTCTGGAGAAGTGGTGGTGACCACTAAAACAGGTGTTTGCTATTTTGATCCTTCTATACCTTCTCATTTTATAGAAAACCAATATTAAGAGTTTTAATTTCTGGGGTCAACCATCCCCGAAACCTGCTTTTAGAAAACTTTCACAATGGAAGGCACCAGCCAGCCAACCAACCAACCAACCAGCCAACCAACCAACCAACCAACCACCAACCCAACCAATAATAGTAAAAAAAAAAAAAAGAAAAGAAACGTAAGAAGGAATATATTTGTTGGCATCTGGGTCTGATGAAGCTGTAACATAGAGGTATGAGTGTTAGAAAATTCTTAGAACTCATCAACTTATAGCACAGAAAGGGTTTCAAACTCAGGGATGTATCAGTAACCCCAGAAGGCTTCCAAACAGTTCTTGACCCCTACCCACAGACTAACAAAATAGTGGGTCTAGGATAGAAGCTGAGATACTTCATGTTCATGGATGGATGGATGCTGATATGTTGAAGAGCCTGTTATTAACTTTTCATTGACCATCACTCTGACTCCCTTTTAAATGAAGTGAATTATTCAAACATGCATATATTCAAAGATCTTGGAGCCTCGGTCTCATGGGATTTGTTAGTAAGAATTTCTGAAAATTGCATCACCATTTATTTAATTAGTACTTGTTTTGGCAGCACTTTTACTAAAATTGGGAATACACAGAGAAGATTAGCATAGCCCCTGCACAGTGATGACACGGAAATGCTGCAAGCAACCCACAGCTTTAGAATTCTTTTATGCCATTAGTTGAAATGTAAAATGGTGTAATATTATGGAAATGGTATGAAGGTTCCTCAGACAATCAACAAGCATCACCAAATTGTCTGGCATTCACACCTTGGGTATGCATAATAAATTCGGATCAGTATTCTGAAAGGGCATATGTCCCTCCATGTTTACTGTACCATTATTCACAGCAGCTGGAAGGTGGAAGTAGCAAATGTCCATTGATGGATGGATGGATAAGTAAAGAAATGTCTTATACATACATTGGACTGTTATTCACATCTTAAAAATTACGTGGTACGTGTGTGTGTGTGTGTGTGTATACCTGGGGAAGCCAGAAGAGGTCTCAGATTCCATGAAGCTGCCATTACAAATGGTTGTGAGCCACCTGATGTGAGTACTACGAACTGAATTCTGCTCTTCTGAAGGACCGCCAAGCACTCTTAAGCACTGAGCCATCCAGCCCCCCCCCCCCCCGCCACCCACCCAAATACTTTTTATAAAGTTTTGGTGATGAGTCCAATTTGAGGCGCAGATCTTGTCTGGGATGTGACCTATGAGTAAGGATTTCTGAAAGCTCCTCAGATGGCCGTCATGGTTGTCAGACATTGCTGGATCAGTGGTTTGCAACTTGTGGGAAACTCTAAAAATGTCTTTGAGCATCCTGTCAAACTCTATACACTTGGGAAGCTTTTGCGTTTTCCTCTCAATTCCCTGGACAAGTCTGATTACTGCTATCTCCCTTCCTTTTACTAATTTGAAAATGATAGCATTCATGATTCTTAATGCCTTTCAGATCAAATACGCATGTCTCTCAGTTTTAGAAAGTTACAGTCATCATCTGCCGAATGCATGTGATCAGAGTCCCTGTTTAGCCTGGCGACACGTTCTTAACTTTGGCCACCTATGTAATCATTGCTCTCCTAACTTTTTCAGTCCTCAGATGGAAACAAGACATGGAGTTGAACATTAAATTACCAAAGTTCTATCATTTTGTTTGGGCATTAAGCTTGAGAGTGCATCGATTATTTCAAGGATGAGTTGAAGGACCAAAAGTCAAAGTTTCATTACAAATCAATATTTGTGTGGAGGGATTAGTTCCTGTCAAGGGTTTTTTTTTGCCCTGAATTTCTAAAAATTGGTGTTGTTAAAGGGTAGATGGACAATCCCAAGGAATTAACTGCAGTGTCAGGGCATGGAAAACAGCTCCCCCAAAGTCACCCATCGAGAGCCAATTTAGATTTTTATGAGATCAGAGATTTGGCAGCAGCGAAGACAAGGACTTGCCAATCCAATGCTGTTTAATATTAATTAAACCTAATATAACTCAGTATCTGTTTCTCAGCTATTCCCAGGCAGGATACCAGAGAATAAAAAAAATCTGTGATCACATCATATATAAGTTGTATAATCATAAATTTATTCATAATTACATATTCATATGTTAGAATATGTTATGTATTCTAGACTTCTGGGTATTTTTTGAGTAACTGAAGAAGATGAATGGGTGCACGAAGTCTCTAATCTCTATAAAGTAAGCTGCCTGGGAATATCCGCATGAAAAGGTCCTGGTGCTGGTGTTATACATACAAATTTTCAGTACCCCAAGAAAGCTGAAACAGTGCTGTGTGGCCTGCACACTAGGCATTAGGGAGTGGGAGCAATTAAACTTGGGACGGGGTTAGCATGGTGATATTGTGAAGGAGATGTGTGGCAAATTGAGACACATTTCCTGAGATGGGGAGATGCGAAGGTACCCAGTAGCACTCAAAGGGCAAACAATGTCAGAACATGGGCATCTTCCCTTTTGAGAAGATGCTCATACCTGACATTTATCTGAAAAAGCATGTAATATTACAATGGGGCAAGAAGCATCCAGTTCCTATTGAGCACTCCTATTTCTTTTAAACGTCATGTTTCTAACATTTAGATGATGAAACATTGTTAAACTGTATATGAAATTGAACTATACTTCCCCAAATAAGCTATAGCAGATACTGTTATTCAAGTGGAAGATAAGATGGAGGAAGTTAAAGATAGAAAGAACATTATGGAACCTGGGTACTTGTGCACCGAAATGTTCCATAGATTTCAGGTTTCATTAGATATAAAATAAGGGTAAATACATATTTCAAAAATCAGGTTTATTGATGACTGTAGTGGAGAGTTTTGAAAGTATGTGGTCTTCAGACTAGACCATAATTTATACATACAGTAAGACCTAGGTCTATGGCTGCATAAGAATTGTGTAGGAGAAGAGCTGTGGAGAGGGCTCAATAAGATGGCTTGCTTTGCAAGCATAGGGACCTTAGTTTGAATCCCAGGAACCTACATAAAAAGCTGTTTATGCCTGTAACAACAGCATTTAGAGGCAGAGACAGGAGGATCAGAGAGCTTGTTGACCAGCTGGCATGGATGGGATGTAGAATTTCTGGTTTAGTGAGAGACTCTGTTTCAAGGCAAAAGGCAGAGAACCATTGAGGAAGATAGCTGATATCGTATGCACACAGCCATGCATTCATGTGTTAGACACACACTCATGTATAACACATACACACACACACAAACACATACTCACACATCAAAAATGAACATCCAAACACAAACAAAATTAGAAATTAGGAATTAGGATGCTTCCAACCACTAGGGAAAAACCAAAGTCGTATTAAGTACCCCCACAGAAACTACCAAAAACTAGACAAAATATGTAATGCAATGAATTAGAAAACACTGGAAACTGGGTAATAAAAGACAGCAGTTCCTGAGAGATAAGAAGCAAATGAGAAAAATCCTACAGTTAAACCAGCATAGTGTGCAGATTGTGTTCTTGGCTACCACTAATACGTTGAGCTCGGTGTTTTCCTTACACTGAAGAAATGGCCTTGAGAATATAAGGAGACCAAAGCAGTGAGTGTTTGTAGGAGTAAGTACTAGATCAGAAAGAGCAGTGCCCAGAAAGAACCTTCAGAACTGCAGAGGATCTCATCTCTAGCACGGGCTAAATTCAGCTCAGTGCATACATGTGAGAAAAATGCAGAGGTAAGGAAAACACATCCACTAATTACAAAGAAAACCCGAAAAACTAGAAAAAAGGAGAATCTCAATACATTGCAAAGCATCTACGAAAATTTTATATCTAAGTGCAGAGGTGGGATTATTTGCTCTTAAGATCAGGACTAGCAAGCTCCCAGGACCACCTGTATCCACTCCTCAGTGCTGAGCTCCTAGGCACTTGCAGCCATGGCTGATATTTTATATGCCTGCTGGAGATTTGAACACAAGCTCCCATGCTTGTCCAGAAAGTGCTTTTATATCTCCTCAACCTGAGGACCTCAAGTTCTTGATGCTTACAAATAGATAAGTAGTGTTTATCACCTTATCTTTATTCATTGTAAGGATTAATGTATGTAGTAAGTATGCTGTATAAGGGCAAAGGCTATTCAGTTATAAAACAGACACATATTGTCTCTATCTATCTATCTATCTATCTATCTATCTATCTATCTACCTATCATCTATCTCTCTCTATCTCTGTGCATATATATTTCACAGGGATAAAATATGTATTGTATATTTATCATAGTGTATATTATACATTCTTCAAAAATGTGAAAATTACTGAAATGTTACCAATTCTCAAGAAAAAGTGTGCCCAAGGATGCTCACTTGTCAGGTGAATTTTCTAAGCCTGAGTTGGAGAGCAATGTATGTGGAAGATAGAGACATAATCAAATTGATTAGTAGTTAATACTCTCTTATTTAGTTTTTAAAAATTATTTGATTATTATCAGTGTGTGTACATGTGTGCTGTAGTGTGCACGTGGAGGTCAGAGAACATCTTTGTGGAATTATTTTTCTCCTTCCACATTTACTTGAGTCCAGAGGTTGAACTCAGATTGTAGGTTTGTCTGGAACCTTTACCCACTGAGCAAACCTGCGGACTCTGTGATTAACCAAAATATTATTAACCGAAATTTGTACTGTAATTTCTTTTAGCTTCATAGGTGTTTGGGAGAAAAATAAAAGTATAAGAAGATTTTTCTTATACTTATGAAGTTTGAAGTATGACACTTAGATCAAGAATTTTATAATGTTAGTAAAAACTATACATGGGTTTCAGGCCCTCCCTAAACAAAACCCAACACTGTTTACAACAATGCTTTCCTTTACAATATAGAGGAGAAAAAAGTGCTCCTGTCTGTTGGGAATAATTTAAACAGTGCAATTTGTATTGTTTCCAATATTGCCATGGTTACCTGGAGGCTCAGAACCAATTGTGGAGCACAATCTTAACGGCTTTAAAATCTCCATCTGTTTTCCATCTGATTTGTCTTTCCTTTGATGCTCTTTGTTACTGCTTTTTTTTTTCTTTTTTTTTCTTTCTTTCTTTTTTTTTTTTTTAAGAAAATTAACTTTCTAGTAAGCTTCCCATTTTCTTTGGAGAAGAGAGAAGAAGAAAACCAACCACATTCATGTATTATCCGTCTGGATGTGTCTGTGTCAACATGTTTGCTTATTTATCCATATGGTCTTTATCTGCCCCATCCTGGCTCCATCTTCATTCACACTTGTGAACAACTGAGGCAGAGTTTACGTAAGCTGCACCTGATGCTGTAATACCCAGCACCGAGGGTGCAGATGATTCTGTCTCAATGCGTGTCTACCCCGTTTCCATGCACTCTTATTCCATTGAAACTTTAACTTGAAAGCGAATCCATCCTTTTTTGGTAAAGGAGGACGAGGCGTTAGCTAATTAAATTCCTCATAGGCCTCCCTGCTGAAGCAGTACTACTAAATCCAGAGATAAGTTGTCTTGGCAACCGCTTTGGCGACTGTTACCAGCTTGCTTTTACAGCTTGTGAATAAAGATGTTTGAGAATGTATAAATTGCCAGCTGAGGTCCGACTGTCCCCCCTCTTCCAAAGAAGCTGGACACTAATTGATAACACAGTACAATGCACGTTTGTTTTTGTGTGAATAATAAAGACACATGCACAGCT